CCACTTCCAGCCCGGCTTTCCCCACTCCGCCTCACACGCTCTAATCCCTTCCGCCTTGGCGGGGCTCCAGGGCTCCGGGGGAGGAACTTTCACCGGAGCCAGCACTCCGCAGAGGTGACCCGGCGATAACAATTGCCCTCACAGCGGTTGTTCCCACTTGTGTTTGAGCTTGGGGTGGGCCCCTCCGCTTGCTCAGGGCCTGGATGATTAAAGGGCTGTATCACGGCCAAGGGCAATACACGCAAGAGCCGAACCCCGAGGATCTGAGCAGCCTGGGTGGCTTCCCTCAGGGAAGTCCTGGGAAAGCAAAAGCAAAACGTAGCCCCTGTTTGCAACTGCACAGGCCCAAAGCCGCACGCTGCACGGTCAGGCTGAGTGTGCCCTGTGCTGACGGCGACAAGAACAGGTCTGTTTTCTGGTCTGAGTTTCCTTCCTTCTCTTTGCAAAGCCTCCAGCTCAGTCAGGCAACACCCAATATTGGTCACTACTATTTAGTCTAGCCCTATTTTTGGAGCTAGATCGGAGTGTTAGCCTTTTCTTATTTTCTTAAAAAAAAAAATAACAATAGGAATACGCTGAAAAAAATTCAAACTATTATGCATGTGTCCAGGACAGAAACTCCTTCTGGTTCCACTCCAAGGGGGTAACTACTGTCCATAGTCTTTTTCCTTCCCTCCACCCCTCCTTTTGGCCTTCGCAAACACATACATCACACATGTGCATATGGTTTTTTAAAATAAACATCATATGTACATAGAGTTCTGCAAATTACATTTTTTCACCCACCAATAGATATATCATGAGCAGCCAGCTTTGCTCATACAGGGGGTTGGTGCATTTTTCTAATTTAAAATTTTTATCTTGAGACATTTAACATTTATAGAAAAAACACACACTCAAAGGAAATATAATTATGTAGGATTCATTTTAAAAATTAGTTAATTCCTGCCGTCGCTCTCTTTTTCCCCCAATCATCCTGGGAGTCATTGCCCGACCAACCTCAGACCACGCAGGGCGGGGAGGAATAAGACCACACAAGCGCTATCTGCCGGCTGCAGGACTTTCCAAGAAGTGGTTCGGGCTGCTGCGTGCTGAGACACCAGTACCTGGAAGCTGAGCCTGCAGAAATGCAAGGCTCCTCACCCAGCGCCCACTCCCTTGGAGGATCTGCTCTGGACAGGGGCAGGTGACAAGGGGGAGAGGCACGGTCAGTGGAAGTACAATTGCTTTGCAACCGTTTCCCCTCCTGGAAATCCAGGGGCCCACGGTTGGCGAGGGCAGCTGCTTTGTTTAAACATAGGGAACTCGAGCTCCTTTCTCACCAGCACATTCTCTCTGCAGATCCTGCCTGGGCCACCCACAAGCGTGTGGCTAACCCTGATAGCTATCCCCCGTCCCAGGAGGAGAGCATGCTAATCCTGACTCAGGGGCAGAGACCGAGCCCAGGTCTGAGCTGCTATCTGGACCAGCCAGATGGTGAGAGGCCGAAAGAATCCGGAGTGGCTATGGAGGACACCATGGGGAAGAGCAGGCCTAAGGGAGGGCAAGCCTCCTCTGCTGCGATGTTTACTGAACACGGTGAAACAGCATGTTGGTGCTGGCCAGACACAGAGGTGGCACGTGTTTTGATTCCCAGCACGACATTAAGAATAACGTGCACGACACTCTCTGTGCACAACACTCTTCTCGGTCCTTCAGACACACTGACCAATACAGTTCTCACTGTTGTCCCGAGGGAGGGTGCCATCATATTTCCCCATTGCACAGATGGGGAAAGTGAGGCAGAGGAAGCAAAGTCATTTACCTCGGTAGTGGCAGATGGAGAATTTAAATCCAGGGTCTTTGGCTCCAAAGCCCACACACTTAACCCACAGGTTACATGCCTTCTTATGCTCATGTGCTTTTTCTCAAGACGCGTGACAACTGACGAGGTGTATGGAGCATGGAAAAACAGTTCCATGGCCCATATGTTTTTAAAAAGCCCTCGTTCAAGCAAAGATAGTGGTGGGCTTCCTTCATGCGAGACCTCTCAAGGTCTTTTTGCATGAAGATGCACTTACTTGCAACAGGCATGTGGCTGGTAGCATTTCCCCCAATTATTGGAACACAGATAACGTTTTTCTAGGAACAGCTTGTGAGAACAGGGTTCTGCTTGCCACACGTTGAGTGAATGTGGGCAAAAGGAGTTGTTAGGAGCAGGGCTTATGCGTTGGCTCTTGCCATTTAACTCACTTTGTGTAACTTTGGAAATTGCTTAACCTGAGACTCAAGCTCTTCGTCTGCAAAATGGGAAGCTGTGGTGAGAATTAAGGGCGCATGTGAAGTTCCTAAAATGATGCTTGGCTCTAAGCATTCAGTAAGTGGGAGACATAAGAATGATCATTAAGAATACGGGACGATTTAAGAACAAAGAAATTATGAGAACTCATTAAAAGAAGCAGAGAATCCCGGCAAAATACTAATCCTCGGGAGTGATCTTTGCTGACAGTTCCTGTGAGAACACCATGAAAACTGTTTGCACAAAAGAAAATCCTAAAACACCATAAAGTGCATTACCACTCCACGGGATGGAGAAACAAGGGGAAACGTTTTTAAAAAGTAGCTCAGACAGAGAGTTTCTTGGGCCCACGAGGGCTTTATGAAACGGCAACAGAAGCAGACCAGGGACAGCAGGGCCGACGTCCAGAGCACCACACCAAGCTGAGACTTCCTCCCCAAGGGGCAGATCCAGGTGCTGGGCCCACCGCGCTCAGGGAGAGGAGGGAGGCGCAGGCTGCCTTTTTATGGGGATAGATTCTCATAACTGAACTGAAAACGGCTTGGCATTCACAGGACGCCTTCCTGTTCCCATCTGACGGAGTGACTCATGCATCTGCCGTTTCGCTTGCAGCCGCGGTGGGAGAACTGCGCAGGAACTGACTCCACAAAAGGCACCCCCTTCCTGCCTGATGCGGCAGCCCCCACCCCCCTTTCCGGTCATGCCTGCCAAACATGTGACAGTTGACAAAAGCAACTCCCCACCCTCCCAAAAAAACCCCATGAAACATCAACAACAACATCAAAATGCCAAACTCTCCTCCCAGCCCCAGGAGAAGGCCGCTGCTCCCCGATGCTCCCCACGTGGAAGCTGAGGGCACACAGCCCAGGGCCCCAGCACCCAGGGCACCTGAGGCAATTTGCTCTCAGTGGGCCTGAGTGGCTCTTAGCACTGGACCAGCTTCCTGTTGTGCAACTATGTAAATGAACTTGTGCTTGGGCCTGGGCCAGCTGCAGTGTGGCAGGGATGTGTGAGTAATGGAGCCACTGGGGGCAGCCTCAGTGAAACTTGCGCAGGCAGTCCACAGGCTCAGACTCCTGACGCCGGCCCCAGGGTCAGGGGCCCCTCACGGGGCCACCTTCTCTGCCAGGGAAACCGTCCCTGTGGTAATGGACCGCAGAGCCTGGGGAGGGCAGGAGCCAGGAACCCCGGGAGGTGGGGAATGAGTTGGCGGGTAATTAAAACCTAGGGGATTGGACTCCAGGCTAGCCTCAGGATGGTTTCTTTGGGCCACTTCCAACCAGCCTCAGTTTCCTCAGGTGTAAGATGACAGGGTCTCCTCTCTTTCCCCAAGGCCTTGTCTGTGCAGGCAGCAAATGTGTGTGTTTATGCGCTTTCAAATGTCCACGGGAACCCCGGAGAGGAAGCATCTCGCTCCCCAGTTTGCAGATGCAAAAACGGAGGCTTGGAGGGGTGAGATAGCATGGCCAAGGTCGGGACTGGTGCTGGAGTTATGGAGCCTGGACTTGAACTAGGACGGGTGGCTATTGAGATGTGTCCCCTCTTGAAATTCTACATGGGCTTCTGAGCTTCTTTAAAATGGTGTTTGCAACTAAAATCAAGTCTTCATTTCTGACATGAACGTTACTTGGCAAATTATCTACTGAAAATTAAAAAGCTTACTTTCGGGGATCCTTCTTTTGTATTGCCAAGTGGAATGTGCTTAGGGAATTGTACATGGGTTTTGAAATTAGCTAAGAGCAAAATTTAATTACAATTCTCATATTAAGTCATTAGCAAAATAAATCACTAAAATAATTCAAATAAGCCAAATATGGATGGTTTCTGTTCCAAGGCAATGCCTTGTTAATTGGTCTGAAGAAAGTTGGTTCTGAAAGATAGAACAGGCCTATGGGTGGTGGAAAGAGCTTTGGGCCCAGGTTCGGAGACCTAGGGTCAGCCTAATTAAGCAAATCACTTAATCCCACTCCTCTTCCCTTTCTGTATCAGTAAAGCAAGGGGCCCGGATTAGATCCATGTTTGTACCCATTTCCTTATGAAGACTCTTCGGAATGTACGAACACTCACTAAACTCTCTGCCCTCCAAAGACAGTTGTTCTTTGGGAATCTCCTGTTACAAAAATGCACAGTGACAAAACATTAACTGGAATGTTGTTCTACTTTATTAACGGCAACATCTTCATATACTTGAACAAAAACACAGATGTTCAAGGTCTTATTTATTCAGGTCGAAGCTGAAGTGTGGCCCCTTAGGAACATCCTCTCACCCTTGGCAGTACCCTGCCTGCTCCCCTTACCACCCTCTGTCCACACACTTGGAACTTTTCCATGAAGTGGCTTCAAGCTCTGATTTTATCATACGCCAATTATTTCTTAAGAAACTACACACCAGGTTTCTATTTTTCTGTTTGGGATAATAAAGCCACTTTTCAGTTAGTGATTTCTGTTTTGCACTAAACCACATTCCATCATGCAACAGCTGACTAGCCACAGACTAATTCACACATCAGGCACAGACCGAACGGTCCTGCTGGGCACATGGAGGTGAATACCACAGGTCTGGTCACTGTCCGCACAGAGCTCTGGCCCACGCCAGGTCTTTCCCATGATCCTCAGCCCTCCCTCTGCTTATCTCCAGCCTCAACCTCCCCTTGGAGATCTGGCTTCTAATATCCACCGTCTGCTCAACATCTCCACTCGGCTGTCTCTGAAACACACCTCAATGCTCACTTCGGCAGCACATGTACTAAAATGGGAAGGATGCAGAGAAGATTAGCATGGCCCCTGTGCAAGGATGACACACACGTTTGTAAAACGTTCTATATTTTAAAAAAATCAAAGTAAAAAATAAAACACACCTCAAACTGAACATGTGTAAACCACCTCCAATTCTTCCCCGATGTCGGCCAGCATCTTTCCTCCCTTGGCATTCCCCATTTCTAAAATGGCAACACCACTCACCCAAATGCTCAGGCCCCAAATACTTGGAGCCATTTTGACTCCTTTCTTCCTCTTCACCCCAAGGGAGCTCTGCTGGCACCACCTACAAAAACACACCCTGAACCGAGGCTTCTAGCAACTCCCTGCTCCCAGCATGGTCCAGGCCACCCTCACCTTTCTCCTAGACTCCTCAGACGGCCTTTTAGCTGGCCTTTCCCATTTCTCTCCTGCCGCCCTACAGTTTATTTCACAATCAGCAGTTGGAGGGAAGCTTTCTAAATTCAATCTGATCACATTGTTCTCCTTCTCGTTCCCCCTCCCCATCAAATCCTTCAGTGGTTTCCCATCATTTCTAGAATATGGGAATTCCAAGTTCTTTACATGGTTTATGAGACCTTGGGTCTGGCCTGTGGCCACTACTCCAGTCTTGTCTCCCACTCTCCTAATTCTTGTGGTCTACTAGCTTTCCCATAAATGTGCAAGGCCTACTCCCGCCACGGGGCCTTAGCATATGCTGTTCCCCCTGCCTGGAATGTGCTTTCCATAGGTATGGGCATGGGTTATCCTCTTTGTTTTCTCAGTTTTCTGCTCACATCGTCTCCTCAGAAGGCCTTTTTTGATTACCCTTCCTGAAAGAGCCATCATCCTACCTTCCCTGTCACTTTGTTTCCTCTAACTTTGCTTCAATTTTCTTCTGAACGTGGATCACTCCCTGACATATTCTACGTGTTTTTTGTCTGCTGCTGCCCCAGGAATACCATCTCTTCCATTGTGTTTGATTTTCATCAGTTCCCAGCTTAGAAGACCACCTTAATTCCAGTCTCTGCTGCAGAATAGAGCGAGTCCTTACAACCTTCTTTTGCATTCCCTGACCACCTTTCCCATGCAGGGGCAAGATCGCAATTCAACCTAAATTTGCTGGACACCTATTGCATGCCAGGCCCTACATGAAGTTCCAGGGATATGGCAGGGAGGCAAAGTCAACCTTGTAAAGGTGATGTCTTGTTATGGGTGTTGAATGGGTATGTGTGCTCCATGCCAGCTGATCTCAGGACAGAGGGGCTCTGGCTGGCGCAGGGCACCAGGGCTGGCCTTTTGGAAGTGGTGTTCAAGTCCCGTGACTTCAAAGGAAGAGCCTGCTTCAGAGTTGCCTACTTGGAAAGTTAGAGATTTACTCCTAATGACCCTCCCGTTACTGAGGCTGGCTGGCAGATTACTGAGGCTGGCTGGCAGATGAGCCTCAGTGGTGAGGGATTGAAGTGTATTTCCACTCCGGCAGGCTAGAGCAAACCAGAGCTGGGCTCAAAGCAGGCACAGTGAGGTCAGATTTTCAGAGACCAAAGGACACGCTTAATCTAAGTCTAATGTGGCCATGAAGGTCCCTGTGAAACCGGAACTGCTATGGGCTAGTCCATAGTCACAACTCTTTTAAAGCCACTTTTCAATCCTTAAAAAAAAAAAAAAAAAAAAAAAAAAAAGTTCATATCTAAAAAAAATATATATTTTTATTGATTTCAGAGAGAAAGAGAGAGGGAGAGATGGAAACGAAGAGTCACTGATTGGCTGTCTCCTGCGTGCCCACTACTGGGGGTTGAGCCCACAACTCAGGCATGTACCCAGGAATCAAACTATGACCTCCTGGTTCATAAGCTGATGCTCAATCACTGAGCCACTCGGCTGGGCAAAAAAATGTTCATTTCTTGTGAACCAATAATCCAACCGAGGGTATTTATCCTTAGGAAATAATCCAAAGTAAAAGGCATATGTATATATTTACATATTTACTGTGGTATATTGATTCAAATATTTAAAAGAAAGAAATAAAAATTTACAACATATAGAAATGAATAAATCATGTCAGCCAGATGGAGAATCCTATGCCATGGAAAGTATACTTTATGGAGGTTGTACTGCTATATTAAAATATTTAAGTTATTACATTAAGTAAAATAGTTTTACCCATGCTATTCTAAGCTATATAAAAATTATACATGCAAATGGACAGAGTGGTCAGAACATAGGAAGCAAAGCTAATTCACTAAATAGGACTATAGACTATAAATATTCTTTAGTTATTATTGTTTTGAGCGAGAAAAATCTATATATATAAAAGCCTAAGCAACCGTTATAACCAGTTGACCGAACAACCCATGGATGGGTCACTATGACATGCACTGACCACCAGGGGGCAGACGCTCAGTGCAGGAACTGCCCCCTGGAGGTCAGTGTGCTCTGACAGTCAACCTCCTGCAGTCCCTCCCCCTGCCAGCCAGCCCCTATTGGGTCTGGGTGAGACAGCCCTGATCACGGGCCAGGCCGAGAGACTGCACCTGTGCAAAAATACATGCACTGGATCTCTAGTAAGAATACAACACCTAAACAAATAAATAAGTCTTCTGTAGTTCTTTCTCACCTACCTAGAGCAAGGGTCTGCAAATTACAACCTATGGGCCAAATCCAATCTGTAGTCAATTTTTTTTTTTAAATAAAGTTTTATTGGAACATAGAATGCCCACTTGCTTATATATTATCCTTGGCTGCTTTCACCCTTTGCTGGCAGAACTGAGTAGTTATGACAGAGCCTGTATGGTCTAAACAGCCTACAATAATTCCAGCTGGCTCTTAGAAGTGTGCCAACCTCTGAACTAGAGTCAAGAAAGCTCCTGACTTCACTCAGAAGCCCACCTTATCTATAACCTAGTAGTCGTCTATGAATACACAGAAACCACCTGTTTTATACTTTCATCCACTAGCTTTTTTTTTTTTTTCAAATGATGCTTTTCTTGTGATTATTTAAAAATATATGTCTTTTTATTCATTTCAGAAAGAAGAAGGGAGAGGGGAGAGAGTGATAGAAACATCAATGGTGAGAGTGAATCATTGATCAGCTGCCCTCTGCATGCCCCCCACTAGGGATTGAGCCCGCAACTGGGCATGTGCTCTGACTGGAAATCAAACCATGATCTCTAGGTTCATGGGTCTACGCTCTACCACTAAGCCACACTGGCCGAGCCATCCACTAGTTCTTAAAAAAAATTTTTTTTAAACAAATGACTTCTTCAAATACGTCTCCATGTTATTTCCATTTCTTCAACTTGGGTATGAAAGTCATGTATTAATCATATAGCTTAGCTAATGTGACCTCAGTTCATTTTTATAAAATATATACTGGGGAAAGGAGACAGAGAAATACTTCTTAAAGATTAGTTCTGAGAATTAAAAATTTACATGTTTTTGGTTTGCTTTTTAAGGCCTCTTTGGCCTTTGGGAAAAATAAACAAATGAGAGTTCCTGGCTATTCTGACTGATTGTGCACCTGGACTTTAGAGCCACGAGCTTCTTGTATAATGTCATTGACAAGTGCAGTGCAGCCAACGTGAACTTTTCTTCCAAGCCGTTCCTTCAAGTTCCTGGAAGAAAGTTCACTATAGCCTAAACCAAAGTCCCTACCACGTTACCTGGCACCTGTTTCCTTTGTTTGCAAAGAGTGACAACATTCCAGCCTCTGCTTTAGGTCCAAGAACACAATCTCAGATTTTAGAGGAGCTGGGATCGTTCCCAATAGTAACTGGCCACCAAAGTTACAAATCACTCCTCCATTCCAGCATTCTTAAGAGTTTACAACAATTAGACTAGCTGTTTGACATTGGAATACATTATTGAGAAAATGTCTAAGGGTAAACTCTAAAATCCATCAAGGAAGCAAAATCTAAGTCAAAAGTCACACACTGGCAGCGGGTGGGTAGAAGCTGGCCTACAGGCTTGTTTGACTTGGCTTGCAGAGAATTGTTTAGACAACCACAAATGAAGCCAACATTTAGAAATTGGGCTTTTTCACATAAAAGTCCAGGTTTCTGGCTTCTTTCCAGAGGGCACACTCCCCTGAGGCTGCAGATCCCAGGAGGACCAGTCTCACTCACAGCTCCGCTGTCCTGGCCTGGGTCCTCGAGCATCCATCCGAGGCTGACCCCAGGGTAAGCCATCTTTGGGAACGTTGTTCCAATGTTTCAAGCAGGTGATGGGACCAATGATTAAGTTTAGGTATTAAAAACCTCAAAGTCCTGCCCGATCTGCATGGCTCAGCACCTATGAACCAGGTGGTCAAGGTTCGATTCCCCGGTCAGGGCACATGCCCGGGGTGCAGGCTCAATCCCCAGTGAGGGGCGTGCAGGAGGCAGCCGATGGAATTCTCTCTCATCATTGATGTTTCTATCTCTCTCTCTCTCCCTCTCCTTTCCTCTCTAAAATCAATAAAATATATATATTAAAAGACAAGAACTCCCAAAGTCCCGAGACTGAGTTTTAGTTCTTCCTCCTTCTCCACTTAGAGGCAGCATGAATGAGGGGAAACAAGGCAGAGTGAGTCTCCCATGGCCTTTCAGGAGTGCCTGGAAGAAGGGAGTCACCAAAAGGACTCATCCACAGCCACGTGCATGAATATACTACCACCAAGATGCGTGCTATCCTCTCAACCCCAGTTTCTGCTACTTCCCCTGACTTCTACAACCACCAAACTTCTAATCATTTACATCGATCCGTGCTGGGCATCTTCCGAAGGCAAGCCATTATTACAATATATTCACGAGAGAATTCGGGAATTCTCTGATCCCAAGAATTTGACGAACTGAGCTGGGGAGCAAACTCCCACACAGACCAGAGAGGAGAGAGCCCCTCACTCTGTGCCAGGCACCGAGCTTACATCCCCACCATGGCACTCTGAGGTTTGTGTGACTCTTATCTCAATAGAGGAATATAAAGAATGATCAGTGGGCTCCAAATGACAGGTAGAGTGCAGAGAAGATGAAGAACACTAGTGTAGAACAGTGTGTTCAAAGCGACACATATTACCTCAAAAAAGAAACAGCAAATTATACCCTCTGATGGGTCTC